TTCATGGAAAAGGTAGCTTTTGATCCAGATATTGGACTTGGATAAGTGAGAGAGCAAGCCAGGAACATAGGATGGCAGAGGGACAGGCATAGTAGCAGGAATGGGCATGGCAGGTCCGGGAAGAATGAACAGAGGGAGTGATGTGTGACAGGCTGGAGAGCTAGGCGGTATGGACCCTCGCCAAAACTTGAGATTTGTCCATGGGTAGTTGAAGGCCATGTACCAAAAAACTTTAAAATAGAGGAGGTGTGGTATAGGTGGGGTGATGGAAGGGAGACCAGAGGGAATGGGGATGATTCAGGGCCAGACCAGAATACGGGGAAGGCAAGAGAGATATGAAGAGCAAGTGGAGAGCACTTGGTGAATGGGGGGATGTGGAAGAGCCAGGAAGAGGAAAGGATAAAGAAGAGTCAAGAGCCCAGGACGTCTTCCTGGTTTCCAGCTTGAGTGTCTGAGAGAATGAACACATTCCCAGCAAAATTTTTTCTTTCTCTTTCTCTTCACAAGATGGCTCCTGTTCTACTTCAGACTGTCCTAGGAACTAAGGAGAATGGCCTTAGGGGAAACTTTGCCTCCCATCTCATTCCAGCCCAACAATATCATAATAGAATTCTCATCCCCTTTTTGTAGAAAGAGAGCCCGAGGATGTACAGTGTTGGTAAGAGTACCGTGCAGCAGAGGAAGGATGGTGTGAGGACCTGCTGGGTCTGAGATTCTCAACAGAATTCTAACACCAGAGCTCAAGGGCACCAGAGGCCATGATTATTGAGAGGACCCACTTCTCTTTAGATAAGGAGACTGAGGCCTCTAAGTGAAGAGTGACTTCCCCAAAGTCACACAGCCAGAGAATAGCAAGCTAGGACTAGAACCTGGCTTGCTGGATCTTAATAATCCAGAGCTCCCTGCAATTCTGCTAGTTGCTCTGTGTCCTGTCAGGGGGAGCGAGCATGCACACATGCACTACTTGGAGAGATTGGGCATTTTACTGAAATGATACTTTCTCTGTGGATTTGTCACAAAGCATCCTTTATCAGACTCCTCAGGGGAGATCAGTAATAATTCAAGATTTTTTAAAAATCCTGTGTTTATTTGTGACTTCTGTGATAACTGGCTTATCACTGCATTTTTATTCCAACCATCTCAGAATTTATTTTGAGTCACATTTTCTTGGCTAAGCTCTGAGATCTGTTGCTTTTCCCAATCGAATTTCTGTATTACTTTGTCAAGGCAGGGAAGCAATCTGACAACTTTTTCCTTTGAAGCAAAATTATTAAAATTCATAATTTATAAGCCAATTAGGAAGAGAGAAATGGAAATTAAAAAAATAGGAAGCACATACTAAGTGCCCAATGAATATTTAAGAAGAGACAAAGATAAAGGAAGGAGAGACAGGACACTGACAGGAATGAGAAAATAGCCCTTGACTGAAAAAAAAGAGGGGATATTTTCCTTAATTAAGAGTGGGAAAGGACATGTTGGATCTTGGGAATTTCCCATGTCCCATCCAACCAGGCAGACTCTGGAGAAGCCCAGCCCTTCAGTCCCAGCATGCTGGGGCTAATTAGATAAACTCATTGATACTAGGTTTGCTGTACATTACACCAATCTTGGAAGCCACCAGACATTTGATCATCATCCCACTATAAAAATACTTGGGAAGACAGCAGAGCTTCTTTTGATCTTCCAAGGGCAAAAAAATACAAACTACCCCAGGCCTTTTGTGTGTGTGTGTGTGTGTGTGTGTGTGAGAGAGAGAGAGAGAGAGAGAGAGAGAGAGAGATCAGGGCTTGTTATGTTCTAGGCCAGCTTAGAACTTGTTACATAGCCCAGGATCACCCCAAACTCATGATCCTGCTGCCTTACTCTCCCAGAGTTCTGGGATTACAGGTGTGTGCCACCACGTCTGGCTTCCAAGCATTTATTTTTCTTACCCACAGATACTTCCTCTGAATGGGGGTGTGTAGCAGTGTCCCATCCATCTCCTGGGCCTGTGTTGCTCAGGATGCCTTTCTGAGCTTTGTCATTTTCACACCCCTCCAAGACCAAGGATTTCATAAGCTAGAACACCTAGGTAGAACAAGTGAATGAATCCCAAAAAGGTAACATTGGCATATAGAGTAATCCTCAGACAGGAAGTCTATTTGTTTGATGTTCTAGGAAACCAACAAGAAGAAAATGCATTTTAGCCAGGAAAGGAGTAATAACCTTCCCAGTGTAAGGACCAAGTTTTCAGGTCAAGGTGGGCTCCATGCCCCTTACCCAAAATAAAGTGAATGCAAAAGTTCCTTTCTGTAAAATTCCATTCTATGTGACAGTCTCTCTGTGTTTCTGTTCCTCTTTTAAGGGCAAGTTATCCTAGGGCATCTCTACCCTGTTTCTATTCCTCTGTTAAAATCCCAAAATGAATCCTTTTCTGTTTAATTTAATTAATATAGAAATTAGTCATAGTTGACATAGGTAGCCACCTGCTAATATTCTGGCTTGCAAAATCAAATAATCTAATAAAAAAAGAAATTGATTCTGCGAATGTAGGCATTAGGTAATTTTCCAATAAGTGCCCTCCCGGTGCCCCTTAAATATCCAATGATATGTAAAAGCTCTCCCAGTACCCCTCAATTATCCAATAATAAGCGAAAGCTAAAAATAAAAACTATATAAGCAAAAAGTTTCATTAATCCTATATAAACCCACTTCAAAAATGAATCTGGGCTCTCAGTCTAAAGCCACTGTGACGGTGACACCTAAAAGTCCAGGCTCAAGCTTGCAATAAACTCCTCTTGTAATTGCATCAAACCTGACTCCTTGGTGGTCTTTGGGAACTTTGCGACTTGGGCATGACACCAGCAATGAATGACTAACAAGCCCATGGGAGAGGGGTGAAAGCAGAAAGTTAGGAAGAGGCTGACTTGGCCTCCAAGGAAGACGGCATTTGACATAATGGGGACAGCGGGAAGGTCGTGGCCCAGTGTGAGAGCTACAGTCACCTTAAACAAACAGATTGGTCACTCTGTTACTGACCGTACCCGTTCCCTGGATCGGACCACGCTGTGTGTGCAGCATGCAGCATTCTATTTCTAGACGATGATAGAGGTGAGGCAACTGTGTGGCTGGGGTCAATCTGCTTTACAATCTACGAACTCCTTGTGCACTGTATGAGGGCATGTGTGTATGTACAACCATGAGTCTTGATGCACCTTGTTTTAACTGGGCACTCTCTGTTGCAACCTAGGTATTGGTAAAATATCTAGGAGTCCCTGCACTGACTTACGAGAAGCTGCTGGTATTTTTCAGTTTCTCCTGGTCTTTGTGTCTTCCAACCTCCATTTCTCAGGCTGATTTGCTGTTTCTTAACAGGGAGGTTTTTACCTGTGCTAAACTGATTTGGCCAGATTGAGATAAGGCCATGAAAACGTATCATCAGTGACGTATAGCGAAGCTCTGAAAATATAACATGGCTCTCATGTGGCCCCACCCCTGGCCATTACAGAAATGTCAAAGCTAGGACATATCACCCCGTGCCATAACATACCAAAGACCCAGGATGGTCAGATCTGCATTTTATTGTTATCCTGACTCTAGGAGCTCATTGTATATTGCACATCAGAAACAGTGCTGTTGTATGGGCTCTTCTAGAAGAAAGTTCCATCTTGAAATCATTTGGGACTAGTTAAATCAAGATCCATGTAGGGGCTGGGGCTGTAGCTCAGTGGTAGAGTGCCTGCCTAATGTGTGCCAGGCCCTGGGTTTGATCTTCAGAACTAGGAAAAAAATACATCTAAAGACATAGCTTCCTGAACCCATAAGTATGAAGCCCAGAGGTGAGAAATTTGAGAAGCAGGCTCCAACATTCAGGGAACGCTTAGACATCGAAAACAATGCTGCCCATGGAGCTGACATATACTTGAAAGAAAACAAGAAGAACCTGAAGTTTTGCTTTGTTTGCCTCCTTCTGAGATGCCCAGCTCATTTGCCTGGATTCATCACGGGGAAAGAAAATTTAGATATATTCCATCCACTGGGGTAGGGACAGCCTCTTCTGAGGGTAAACCAAGGAGCCTCCATTTTGGTGGGTGAGTTTCTGAATGTCCCTCTCAGTATTTCCAAGTGCACATACGATTTCACAAGGAGGCTTATGGTTTAACTTGTCTGTAAAATACACTTCCACGGAATTTTGTTTTCTCTGATTCTTCTTGTTTCCTTCTTGTATGTATCTAATGAACCTGAATCCTCAAAGTCTTTGAGGTAAAAGGTATATAACATTAAAAACCTGGGCTTTAGATCAATAATTTCCAGGATGTTTATGTTTTTCAACAGAGCATATATAGAAGGCATGAAGTCATAGATTCACGATAATGATCTAAACCAATGACTGACTTCACTACTAGAAAATGTAAGGCACCAACAGATGAAGTGATTTGCCTAGAGACACACAGTGACAGAGACATGGACTGCAACCCACCCTTCCGATGACAAGCCCAGGGCTCTTCTCATCTTTCTAGTGGATGCCTTCAAAAATAAACACTTTGAAAATTTGACCAATTAATGTTTATAATCACTTTAAATCCCAAAGAAGAATTCATTGGTTCGATAATAGATTGGATGAAATGTAAGGGAGGGATCAAAAGGCAGTGAATAAATGAATGTGAAAGAGAGCCACTTGATTATTTCTAATTTTAAGAGCTATTCAGACCTGTGGGAGGCTTAAGAGACAAGCATGCTTAAGGCTTGAAATTTTAGCCTCCGTAACTATACTAGAACCATATGTGTAAGCTGGGAAATGGGAAGAAGAGGAATTGCTTCACTCAGAGGCAGTGATATTGCATCAACCAATCCTTGTCGCTGTACAGTTTCCTTGTGCACCTGTCTGGAACCAGTCACAGGGTGTTTCCTGCTGAACCCAAGCGTCTCATCCAAGCCACCTCAGCCCCTCAAAAATCTTTCCTTCTGGGACTTCCCCAGTAATAAATTCTTACAAGAAGGTATAAAAAGAACAGCTGCTCCAAGCAGAGCAACTCCCCTGGCTACCGCAGGAGGCTAAGGCACTTGGCAGGTAAGACTCGTCAGCGGTAATCTTTCCTGGCTTCTGCAAAGTGAATGGTGAACTTTCATAACTGTGTCTCAGAAAGCTTAGTACTGGATCGAGGCTTTGGTTCTTGGTATCAGATTTGGCTACCACATGACAGGTCATCTCTGTTTGGAGTAAGAGAAAATGAGACTAAATCCACCGCCAGGCAAGCAGGCTTTTCTGTTTCTGAAAACTAAGACATAGAATTATAAATCCTTGGGGGCTAGAAGGTACCATAGTTCTCCTTTATCCATCCTAATTAGCAAGTGAAGCCTATGGAGCCTTTGCAGTGTTTTTAGGGTTCCCTAATCCAGGGCTCTCAGATAATCATTTCATCTCACATCTGCAGCAGATCTGAATGCCTAGTTAATCCTGATTGTCTATTCCCAGGGTCTTAAATTCCCAGTGTGCATTGGCTCTCGGTCAAGTGCATGGACTCCAGCAGTACTAGATGGGCTTCATTTTGAGAGAGTGGAGTGGCTGAATCATATTGCTTTTTATGCAAATGGGTGCATTCAGCATGTACCAAACACCTCCCTTCAGCTGAGGTAGAAGATTGTTTCTGCTACACAGGGCTTGATGAGAGCCACTGAGGATATGAAAAGAAAACAAACTCAAATTCAGATTCAATTTCTAGTGTACTTTCTGACACCACATATGTGGGAGTTTTCTGCTGACACTGTCCACCTTGGAGAGAGCACCAGATCCCACAGGAAGGGGTTCAGTCCCAAAGAGACCACCCTCCCTTCTGATGGCAATCAAAAGCTTCAGGTTGCTTTACCTGTGCTCTATGGGGGACCCCTGAAACTTTACCAGCAACCTCTACAGTAGGCTCCAGTCTCCTGCTCTGTATGACACAGGCCTGAGGAAAGAAAACTAAAAGACAGAACTAAGAGAGAGAGAAAGCAGGGTGCCAGGTCAACCAATGCCAGTGTACCCTACAAGGCACTGTCCAGTCCAAGCCACTGATTTTTATTGGCAATCAACTGAGGTAAAGGCAAGCCATGTGCAAGGATGGTACTACATGCAAGGATGCCTAGTTGTGTGGTTTCTATGGAAATTAAGCAAGCCTCATAAAGGACAAGACAAGTATTCTTGAATTAACAACAGAATAGACAGGGCTGGGGATTTAGCCTAGTGGTTCTAGGGCCTGCCTTAGAAGTGTAAGATCCTGAGTTCAATTCCCGGAACAACAACACAAAATATACGGCTGTAATTAGAACACTGTCCTTCAAGTAGGAAGGTTTCAGTTGTGGGAGCAGAATTTTGGTGAGTTACCCTCTAGGCTTTGGCTGGACTCACTTCTATAAACAAGCCAATTGTGGGGTTAACTCTTTACAGCCTGCTTTGGGGCATGATCAGTACTGCAGTCTCTCACAGTGCTCCTGCCCCACTTTGTACAAATCAGAGTTCCCACAACCCCCTACTCGAGGTTGAATAATTTTCTATCGTTGTTAGCAAAATTTAAGGAACTGTCTCCAATCCCAGGGCTCCAGGAGACTGAAGCAAGATCACAAGTGCAAGCCCAGCCTGGGCAAGTTAGCGACTTAGTGATTCCCGGTCACAACATTTTAGAAAGGGCTGAGGATGTAGCTCGGTCTAAAGGCCCTGGGTCCAGTCCCCAGTACTGAAAAAAATGAAATCGGGGAACCACTTACTTATGTGCATCAGTTCTTTATAAAGAATATTACAAAGAATACAGATGAAGAGGTGCATAGCTTGAGATATGAAAGAAGGAACAGGAGGGGCCGGGGATTCAGCTCAGTGTTTCTGCCCCCTGCCTTGTAAGCACAAGGACCCGAGTTCAATCCCTGGCACCGAAAAAAAAAAAAAAGAAAGAAAGAAGGAGCACGAAGCATCTGCAACCTCTCTGGCCACACCGCCCTCTGGGAACCTCACGTATTCAGCTATCCAGAAGCTTCCTAAACTCTCTTCTTGTGAGGGTTTCACAGAGATTTTATTACATAATGGGAGCCTGGCTAACCACGTAGTGCTAATGCTGATGGACCCAATGGGGAGGCCCGGCCAAGCCTGTCTCTTCAGGTTCTTCTTGGCCTCTCTGTGAGGCATTCCTTCCTCCCAGGCACAGGGCACGATCCCTTCTGAAATGGGAGTGTTATGATCTACTATCAGGCAAGGTGGATCTGAGAATTTCATTGTGGCCACCTCTAAGGCAGAAAGCAGATTCAAGTTTCTGTATAGTTTGCTTTGGGGAAGAGAAACTCTGGTTTCCACGGCCTAACTTGGGGAGGGGGTTTTAGGCCAGGAACCTAGGATGAAAACTTAAAAAAAAAAGAAATATGTATCTGTATATAGATATATATGTATGTATGTATGGCATAATATCAGTTTCCTCCTTTTTTATTCTCTTGATCCTGGAGTTGCTCAAAGATCAAATAGAGCATTCTTTCTGGCGATTGGGAGTTTGTTGGTTTTCCACTGAGCTCATTCCACACCCTCAGCTGGGCTCTTGCCATTCCTGGAGAATTGTACTGATTCTTTCCCGTCTCAGGCCTTTCTCCAGTCTCTCTGGACCACAGCAAATCTAAGAGCCAAACTCCGGAAGGCGGGGTCTCTCAGAGTGTGATCTGCAGCCGCTGGCTTCACTTGGGAGCTTGCTGCTAGTGCTTGCTGCTTGCGCCCCTCCCATGACCTTCCAAGTCAGACTGTGCATTTACTAAAGTCCCCAAGTGACTCTTAGATGCATTCTTAGGTGCTGGGAAACGATCACCCCTCTGCCCCACAGCGACCTCAGATGTTTAATTTCTTTGCTCTGCTCTTCCTTCAGCATGTGCCCAACACCTTTTTTTTTTTTTGGTGCTGGGGATTGAACTCAGGTCCTTGCGCTTGCAAGGCAGGCCACCGAACCACTGAGCTAAATCCCCAGACCATTATGTGCCAACGCTATGCTTAGACACTGGAAGGACAGAAATACATAGGGCATCACTCTTAAGAAGTCTCATGAAAACATGAAAAGAGTAGTATAAGACAGGAGTCAAGCACTGAGGGAGGGCAGGCAAAAGAATGACCTAACTTTGCCTGGAGAAATATGGTAAACTTCACAGAGGAGGTGGTATTTGAGGGCCAGAGGCTATGGCCCTGTCTTCAAAGAATGCTTTGTGTCCCACAGAGGGCCCCAGGCTTTACTGAAGACCAAAGGGCTTCTGCACTGACACGGGGGATAAGAATGTGAGCTAACATTGAGGCACTGCGGACACCTCTGGCTGGCCTCGTACACTCTGACACCCGGTGGCCCTGGCCCTTTGCCATGCTTAGCTCTGCCTGCAGACAGAGTCTTTCTACACAGCCATTTTTCGGTGGCATGACCCCGTGTTTACCTGGCTCTGCTTTCTGTCCCACACCCTTCCTTCACATCAAGCAGGAACTTTGGCCATGACACAGAAAATAATTTCACTTTATCCTTGGACTCCTCCCTTCCTCCTTTCCCAGAGAGGAGAGCATGAAGAAAGTTTCTCAAAGAAAAGGAGTGGAGAAACGAGTATCTAAGTTTCATCTTCTGTTCAGATTTCTCAGCTTTCATATCTTTTCCTTTGATAGTCCTCTTTGTCAGTCTCTCTCTCTCTCTGAGAATGCCGTTTTTCATAGACTAACATTTTCTTATTCTTTATAATTTATTGTGAAATACGTTATACAGACAATAATAAAATATGAATGCTTAGGTGCCTATCAGCCCCCTTAAAAAAACAGCAATATGGTGGAGGCCAGGTTCCAGAGGAAGGAGGAAATGGAGAATAAGTATTCAGTGGGTAGAGTTTCAGTTTTACAAGGTGAAAAAGTTCTAGCAAAGCAATGTAAATAGTGTGTGCGTGTGTGTGTGTGTGTGTGTGTGTGTGTGTGCTACTAGAAACTGAACCCAGGGCCTTTGAACTGAGCTACATCTCCAGCTCTTTTTGTGTTTTGTTTTGTTTTTTGAGACAGCGTCTCTCTATGTAATTGAGACTGACCTGGAACTCACTATGTAGTCCAGGCTGGTCTTGAACTCACAGCGATCCTCCTGCCTCAGCCTCCTCCAGAGTGCTGGGATTAAAGGCGTGAGCCACCACGCCTGGCTCCAGCTCTTTTTAAATTTTATTTATTTTTAGACAGGATCTCACTAAATTGCCCAAGTTGGGCTGGAACCTATGATCCTCCTGCCTCAGCCTCACAGAGTGCTGGGATTACAGGCATGCCCTACCATTTTTGGCTAACAGTGTTAATATCCTAGTATTGTTGTACTGTGCAGCTAAAACAGTTAGTATGGGAGAATTTTATGCTGTATTTTTATACCACAATTATGCGATATTTTTTAAAAGTTGATGGTTCTTTTTGCTCCTGAACCATCATCTTTGTTCACCTGGAAGGGCAGATTTCTGCTGACTTACTGGGTCCTGCAAGTTTCTCCTGCAGTCACAAAGAATGCGTGACAGAGGGAGAGAAAGTCATAGAAACTTTTCCCGCTTGGGGCCACACAGGTGTAAAGACAAGAGCCTACTGAAGAGTTGATCTGTTGGAGAAATTGTCTTGGGGAAAAAGTCTTGGCTAGAAAGGTATTTCACGAATACCTTGCCTCTTGTCTAAAGTTAGCTTACAAAAAGTATATTCAGAAAGACAAATTTTTATTTAGTTAGTTTTTTTAAGACAAAATTTATTAAGAGGGAAACACTAAAAAAGCAACAGGGACGCTGGGATGTGTGGAGAGGCCGAAATGACCTAGTCTAGGTGCGCGGCTCTCCTCTTCTGGTCTAAACTGGCCCAGGGGAAGTCACCAGAGTGTCTGGGTGGCAGGCTGGGTCATCCCTCTCGCCCCCTGGTAAAGCTCCAGAGCTGTGATTTCTCTCAGGGAGCTCTGGGGAGATACAGACGGGAAGCTGGTCAGGGGCAAGTTGTTCCTCCTGTGAGTTTCTGGTAAACGCTTTGCTGAAGAGAGAGGCCGTGTCCTCTTGGGAAAGGTAAGGAGCCTGTCAAGAGCTTGTCAGGAAACACGATTTGCATACTGGACCTCCCTGGGTGGGAGCCAGGATCTCCTCAAAAGATAGTTTGGGTCTATTCCACAGAACCCAGTGTAGCCCCTCCTTAGAAAACAAGGTCACCCTGGCTGTAAGAATAGCTCAGTGGGAGAGCACTTACCTCACATATGTGAGGCCACGGGTTCAATCCACAGCACTTCAGAAGAAGGAAAAGAAAAAGAGGAAGAAGACAAGCAGTTGATTGAATTAGGCTCAGAGTTAAAGGCCATGACAAAAGGTTTAAGTGAGGACCTGGAATGGCTCCAGGCAGCCTGGGACAGAGCCTTGTCTCACAGGGCCTCTGAGCTTCTTCGTAACTCTTTCATATGGTCCCATCATATTTGCTCCTTGAGGGAGGCGGAGCCACTGTGGTTTCTGAAGACAGGCATGAGTGTTTACCCCTGGCACACTCCTCTGCAGTGTTCCAGAGGAGGCCGACTGGCAGGAAGCAAAATATCCTGGGGAACGGAGGGAAGAGAACTCCAAAGATTTGGTAAGGGCATTTCTCACACCTTTGGGCAAAACAAGCACAGGATTTCAGGATCACAGACTGTCAGGGCAGAATGAGATATCCTGGATCACTAGGCAGGCCAGGAGCCCAGAGGTGTTAGTTAAGTAACCTGCCCAAAGTCACAAAGCCAGACAGAGCAACTGCAGCACTACAACTCAGGGGCTTGAACCCTGAAGCCAGAGCTCTCTCCCTGCTACGCTTTCTTCTTCTGTTTCTCCCAGTGCCCAGTGTGGGCCTGTACACATTGATGCTCATGAAGTAACGTTTAATTCTTCCTTGTTAGGGCCTCCGGTGTTCCCTGGGATTGCTCTGGTTTCTGCAAGTCAGTCCCTCCCACCAGGGTTCCAGCAGGACTCACAGTGTGGCCCTGGTCTCTTTTCAGGGATGGGGCTGCTTCTCTGTCTCCCAGGCCTCCTGGCTTCCCTGGTCTGGCTCCAGGCTCCAGCACCTGTCACAAGTGGTAAGTGTGTACTGTTTTCATTTCCTGGGGCTGCTGTAATGAAGCACCATAAACTAGGGGTAAAGATTAGAGAAATGTCTTCCTCTCACCCTCCAGAAGGCTGGAGGTCCAAAATCAAGGTGACAGGGGGGCCGTGCACCCTCTGAAGGCCCGAATGGAAGATCCTTTCTTGCTTCTTCCTGCTTCTGGCCTCTCCCAGCATCCTGGGTGCTCTCAGCTCAGAGTTGCATCCTCCCAATCTCTGCCTCAGCCTTCACCTTGCTTTCTCCCTGTGTCTACCAGGCATGGGACTCAGTGTCTACCCCAATCCTGTGTGCCCTCATCTGAATTAACTACATCCACAAAGACTATTTACAAATAAGGACACATTCTAAGGTTCCGAGTGGACCCAAGTATGGAACCCACTACTTTCTTGAGAGAAGGGGTCCAGCCCCTCACATTCCAGACCCTAATAATAGTGAAAACAAGAAGTCCCTGCCTCTACCTTTATACCACCCCTTTTGCTACTTCAGGATCCTGGTGATCACTAAGCTCTTTGATGAATTTGCTTAAGGATCCATGAAGCCATCTCCCCAGGAGCCAGAAAAATCCCAGAGCCTGGTATCCCAAGCCAACCTGAGTGGTGGTGCTGGATACCCAAGAATCTCATCATTGGGTATTTTAGTGGAATCCCAAAAGGCAATTTTGACATCCTGTTAAAGATCAGGGCCATTCTTTCCATTCTGTGTTTCTTCTCCTTAATTAAGGACTCTTGGGAAACATCCTATCAGTCCTGTTTTCCTGCCTGCTCAGAGGCAGGAAAGGGTGAGGGTACTGGCTGAGAAAAAGGCAGACAGAAGCAAAGAACATCTCAAAAGAGCAGTGTCTGATGCCCTCTTTCTGCTTCCTCATCCTGCTACCCCAAGCACAGACCACCAAAACTTCAACTATCTCTGATGCTGTGAGTCAGGTCAAGGTCCAGGTCAACAAGGCCTTCCTGGATTCCCGAACCAGGTACGTGACACTGTCACACACACATATCTATACGAGTGTACTTCTCTTCAAGACAAGCAAATGTAACAGCCCAGACAAGCCGGTGAGCCAAAGCAATTATAAAACTTGCCTTTCCACTCACCCTCACCCCCACCTATATGGAAAGCAGGACTAATTGCTCCCCACTCCTAAAGGTCCCAGCCTCTGAGGTACTTTGCAGGGACATCTAATCTAGTCTGGTAAGGACTCCTTGTTTCCTTGGGCCACATGAGCCAGCCTCAGTTCATCGTGCATTCAACCAATACTGACTGACTTGGGTCAGGCTCCCCAGAAGTAGAACCCAGTTCCGGATCCAGGTGCAGTAACTAAGCAGGGCAGTCACTCTCAGGAAAGCTGTCACAGAATGAGTGACAGCTGGACAGCACAGAGAAGTTAAGTCAGATGGAGGTTCAGGTCTAACTTCAGCCTGGTCCCTCAGGGAGACCTGCAGCATAAGGTGCACCTTACATGGTCCCAGGCTTGGGTTGGGGGAGGCAGCAAAGCATACTTGTGCCACTCCCAGGCACCTCCAGCCATGCAGCTCCAATGGCTCAGAATCGAGTACCCAGTGAGGTTACAAGGCTGACCTTTGAGTGCTGCACCCACAACAGCTGGGGGAGGTGCATGCCAACCTCTTCAAGAATCCAAGGAACCCAGCAGTCACCAGGATGCCAGCAGTCAGCATCCTCCACCCAGCAAGAGGCCAGGACTCCTGAAATAAGCAATGCAAACTGGGTCCCCACCCTCAGGAAGCCCACATTCCTCCACTGGGAGTTAGGGTTAGGGTTAGAGCTAGAGGAACCATGGCAAGAGGAGAAAATGCCCTTATTGTTTCCTCTTCCTCTGTCCCTAACACTAGCCTAGGGCTTCTCTCCTCCCTGCGCTTGGATGAATTCTCAAAACAGTCCCATAACTCTTCTGGCCTCTTCTAGTCCTCAGAACAGCATCAATTCAGGAACTAAAGACTCATCATAAGAAAACAAAGGCTGAGACTACTCGCTTCCCTGGGCTCAGAACTGCTCAAGGCCTACGGTGACAGCAGAGAGCCCAGTGAGTGGGCTTTTCCCTCACTCCTGGACATCAACCCATTTTCCTTGGGGCTGAGCTGGAAGAGGGGTCTAAGAAAGGACAAATCCAACTCTTTTGGGCAAGTCAGTCTCTTATATGCCTTCTCTCCTTGGGCATTTTTCCAGTCTCAGAAATTCAACTGCCACGGGCCTCCCTTAGGGATGGAAACATGGTGAGGGTATCATTCATTAAGGCCACAGCTTTGAGTTAGCAGCACTGGTTTGGGGTGCGAGACCTTGGGTACTGGGAACCCCAAGTATCTGCCATAGATACACCTCAAGGACACAGCCAGCATCTGCTGACTTGATGAGGTTTTGCTGCTCTACCCTGAGGACTTGATGCGGAGAGCTGCTCAGCCTCTCTCTGCAACATAGGTACTTGGAGAGTGGTAGGCAGAAGCCAGTGTGTGAAGGTTTCATTAAATTTATTTTAGAAGAGGCTTTTCTCTTAATATAACAGACAGTCCTTGAGCATCTGCGATGTTCCGATGTTCTGGGTGCCACTGTCTGTGCTGGGCTTAGGATATTCCAAAGGAGGCAGGTCGTAGGCAGAAAGGGAAGTCCCTGACATAAAGCCAGGGAACTCAGCGTGTATAGTATGTGTGGCTGGCAGGTGAGCCATGCAAGAATGGGGAGACTGTGTAGGAGGCCACTCAGGCTCCATGCCCTGGCTTCCCACCCCATGGATGTGGATGGGGGAGGAAGGCTGCTGGGTAGGACCCGTGGGCACTGCTGGTTATCCCACATTGTCATTAAACACAGAAAAGAAAATGTTTCTATAGTCTTTCCACATACAGCATTTTGCCTGTTCTTTCAAAGTCTATTAGCGATGCAAATAAAGAAAGGGTCCCTTATCAACCTTAAAAAAAAAAAAAAAAAAAAAAAAAAATTCAACTGCCAACTCCATGACCTGGAAAATTCTCCAGCTCGTGACAAGTCTCCAATCCTCAGCCTGGAAGTCTCTGACCATCTCCTTCACCGTCCCCACGCAGCCCCTCTGGCACCAAAAAGATGCCATGGCTATCTCTTGGGTTCTTTTTATGGAGGCTGTGGGGAGGTTAGGAATAGGCCTAGATGTAAGAGGCCAGTCACCATAGCCCTCTGTAACCCTACCAGCTCACCCAGATAGTTCCTCAGACTGAGAACCTGTACCTTCTAACACTTTAAATAATGGCCTGACAAGTAGTTAACAGACCAAGCAGTACAGCCACTGAATTGTATCCAAACTCAGGTTGTCTTTTGTGAGAATTTGAGCCATTCCTAATATTTCAGCCTCATAGAGAATCCCCTCTTAGATCTTCTCCCACATGTGGAAACTGAGGCACGGTGAAGGAGTAGAGGGCTCTCATGGAGGGACTTTTCTGACAGCACCTTGTCCTCAGTCATCTCTGTGGTCACAAACTTTGTATTTCAAGAATTTTTCTTGTTTTATATGTGGAAATTAAAAGGGGGGGAAGCCTGAGTGGTCGTACATGATCCTTGGCAATAAGCCAAATGCTTCAGGTCCCAAGCTCCATGCCAGCTGGGGTCAGGTTAATGAGGGAATGCTTTCCTGGGCAAAATTGGAGGCCCATAAGTATCCTAATCCTAGAATTCTGTGTGTGTGTGTGTGTGTGTGTGTGTGTGTGTGTGTGTGCGCGCGCGCGCGCCAGGGATCGAACTTGGGCCCTTGCACTTGCAAGCAAGGCAGCAGAACCACTGAGCCAAATCCCTGGCCCATAATCTTAGAATTCTCATTCCAGTCATGTAACATGCCACCTATGTGTCAGGGTTCCTCAAGACTGGGTCAGCATATCATAGGTTCCGTTTGGTTTGGGGGTTCCACATGCTCCTGTCCACCTGCCTGCCTATCCTCAGAACCAGACTCATCAAAGCTTCACAAACACTGTGGCTTCCTCCTCCCAAAAGAGATTTTTCCAGAGGCCTTAGGACAAAATTGAAGAAACGATGCTGAGAGCTCAGGGTATTTGTCTCCTATGTGTTGCCCAGGTCCCATACCACCTCGCATCAGCCCCTTCTTCAGGGACCAGCTCAACAGATCCCTACTGCTCTCCTCCGTAGGCTGAAGACTGCCATGACCTTGGAGACTCCCACCACGAGACAGCTATCGGAGTACCTCAAGCATGCCAAAGGCCGATCACGCACAGCCATCCGCATGGGCCAGGTGTGGGAAGACTCCTTAAAGAGACTGAGGCCACAAAGCCCCTTGACCAATGTCACAGGTACAGAAAGCTCACTAGCCTTCTGATGGTAGGAAGGGCACATCTTCCAACAGAAAAGAACAGAGGCCGCCACAAGCCAAACTCCCTGTCAGAGCTGTCCACAAGGAAGACATCCCTGTGTGTGCCTTCTTAGACTCACACACCAGACAGGCAGAGCAAGGAGGGGCTTAGGGGACAGCTAGGTCACAGCACTTTTTGCATACAGAGAAATTCAGATCTAGCAAGATCACGTTGCCAACTCCTCAGGAGGGAACATGGTGCTCTGTATAATACCGTCTGTGAGGCCTCTGCCCAGAGGAAGTGCTAAAGTCAATAAACACAGCCTCCCTGTCCCAAACCACGGTGTCACCTTGCTATTAGTAGAGGGCACAAGTAAGTCAACTGTGTCGGTGGATTTACTGGGATTATGTTGCAAGAGATGAGATCTCTATCGTGTTCTGGGTAACACCGTGATGACACCTCTGGTTTGATTTCCTGCCTCTCGCCAGTGACTCAGAATAGACAAAGCACTCAGTCCCTGCGGGGTCCCTTCTGTTTCAGGCTCCAGCCTGGACTTGACTTCGCTCTCTGCGGAGGTGGGCTGTGACGCCCCCACCCCTGTGGTGAGCTGTGACATGAACAGCCCTTACCGCACCATTTCAGGAGACTGTAACAACAGGTGACCTTGGGGGAAGGGTGCTCCCGCCACCTGCTAGACCGGCCCAGCCAGCGGCTTTGCCCTTTGGCCATTCCCCCACCCCACTCCCACCCGCACCCCGCGCTCTCTGGGACCGCTCTAAAGACTGCGTTGCAGGGGCACAATTGGGAAATTTAGAACTCCACCCATAAGAGGCCCCTTTCCCCTCGGGTGGACCCGCTGCAACTGAGCACGTTCTCGCTGGCTTTCAGGAGGAACCCGGCGTTGGGAGCAGCCAATAGGGCGCTGGCTCGCTGGCTGCCGGCCGAATACGAGGACGGGCTCTCCCTCCCCTTCGGGTGGACTCCGGAGAAGACACGGAACGGCTTCCCGGTCCCGCTGGTGAGGGCAGGCGAGTCGAGCCCTCCCGGATGGAGAGAAGGATGGGAGGGGGATTGCAGGGCCCAGAGATGGAGATTCCGACTCGCTCCCTGGAGATGTTCCCCAAAACGCCACTAGAGGGCAGCAGAACCCAGCCACGTGGTGGTCCTGTCCCGGCTGCCGCAGGCCAGATACCCTGGGGTCTCCGGGCAGATGGCCTCCCTGCAGCAAACAGCTCGCGCTTACCCTGCCCCCGCCCCTGGGGTGCATCAATTGTCGTTTGCCTGGATGGAGGTCCTATCTGTTGCCCTCATCTGAGTTGGCAGCCCATCCCCCAGCGTGCCCCTCTCCTATGCCCAGACACCTGGCACCTCCGTGGCATTTACTTACTCCAGGGGCTGCCTGTCTTTGTTTTCCGGCTCCACAGTGCAAAGGACACTTGGCTCGCGCGCACTCAGGTCATACAAACCTGGGTTCAATCCCATCCCTGCGCCTTTGTCACCGCAAGACCTGTCTTTGTTTTCCGGCTCCACAGTGCAAAGGACACTTGCCTTGCGCGCCCTCAAGTCATACAAACCTGGGTGCAATCCCATCCCTGCGCCTTTGTCACTGCAAGAGCTTGGCACATGGCCTTCCTAGGATTCAGTCCCCTCTTCTACAAGCTGAGAGATAGTATGGCCTGCCTCACAGGCTTTTCCTGAGGAGTGTGCATCTGTTACATCACAGGTATTCAGCACCTGCTATTGGGTGCTCAAAGCTCACTTCCCTCCATCCTGCCCTCCCCTTCTCTCTCCATCTGTAGGCTCGTGAAGTATCCAACAAGATCATCAGCTATCTGAGTGAGGAGGGTGTTCTGGACCAAAACAGGTCCCTGCTCTTCATGCAGTGGGGTCAAATTGTGGATCATGACCTAGACTTTGCCCCCGACACTGAGATGGGGAGTAGCAATTTCTCCAAAGCCCAGTGTGATGAGTACTGTATCCAAGGAGACAACTGCTACCCCATCATGGTAAGCCCCTGCCACTGGGGATCCCTGACCGGTCTCTTGTCCATCCTGATAAAGCAGACATCCCTGACCCAAAGGCCAGTATCTCTTGGTTGACTTGGATGGGGATTTGATAGTTTTCCAAGCTTCATAATCCATTCATTTATCTATCCATTTGTTTAGTAATTAGACATTAAACATCTATGTTGTGCCAGACATTGCACCAAGCACTGAGATTCAAAAGTGAATGACACCATTTCTGCACTGAAGGACAAAAGCCAGTGTGGGCAATGGATGAGTGAACTACCAATTGGAAAATTGGGACGCTCTAAGGAGGGTCGTCTACACCCCCCACCCAGCAGCTTTGGCGGCACCTGGGATTATTAGAAAGGAAAATCTCATGCCTCCCCCAGACATTGGAAAATTGATTTTTACATTTTACCAAGATGCCTGGGAGGTTCAGGCTGTACTTAAAGTTTGTGGTGCTGCTCTAGGTCATCCTGAAGGATGACTTCATCTCCCAGAAGGAGGTAAAACCTCACGGCTGAATCTGTGGGCAGGGACTTGTGGGAAATGTCCGGCTGGAAGGGAGAGAGACTCGCAACGCTGTGTCTTTTCTTCTTACTCATGGATTTTTGCAGTTAGAGTCATTTATTCACCCAGACAACAGATCAAAAGCTATGTGCTGTGCTGTAAGAGGCATGAGCTATGGATCTGAATCTTACATCTTTCCTTTCCAGTTTAGGCAAGTTTCTTAACTGTTCTGAGCTCCAGTTTTCCCACATGCAAAATGGAAGTGAATTGTCAACCATACAGGGTTTTATGAGCACCAAAGTGAGATAAAGTATGCATAGTGCCTGGCACATGGTAGGTCCAAATTAATAAAGGGTCACTGTTGTTAGGAGTGATTACCAACAACTCTTTCCCACAACATGTGTTGCTGCCCAGTCCAAGGATCTCAGGATTCTGTCCCTATCCTTACCAAAAATTCAGAGCCCTCCCTGAGAATGAATGATCTCTCAGCCTTTTCCACAACAGGACGTAATGAACTTCAGGGCCTTATGGGCCCAGGATGTGTAATGTCAGCAGAAGGCATCTGGCCTTCGTGTCTGGTACAAGGGTCCCAGAGTGGCACCATCAGCATCTTTCCATCCAGATTAGCCCTGGGGGGGGGGGGGGGGGGGGCCCGGC